CAGAGAGCACTGGACTTTGACCCAGTCCTAAAGTAAAGCTGTGCCAAGAAGGCAGGGCAAGAGCCCATGTGCCAGATTTAAAAGACAGTACCCAGAAAGGTCAGTAGTCTTAATTCCTCTGTAACCTGCTGGTGATGTAACCCAGTGTTGGTCAGCAGTGATAAGGCCTGCTGATAAGGTAATTATGAGCTGCTGCCATCTTTTTAGTTTCAACATCCTCACTCCTGCGCACTGTGTGGGACTCCTTTCTTTTTCTGTCCTTGACACAGGATAGAAATGATGAATTCCAGAAAAATATGTAAGCTGAAATGAGCAAAGGTAAGAGACACTTCATAGTGGAACTTGTGGACTCTTGCACCATATATAAAAAAGGTGGGGGAGTTCAAACACAAAACTCTATCTAGAAGAGCAAAACAGCCACAAGACTATAAGAAGCCCCTAGCAATGCAAATAAGTAATTACATACAGATTTTTAAAGTTATTACTTTTTTTTTAATTTATAATAACAAATATCTTGATTTTATATTCATTAAAAAGAAAATATCCTAAGTTTATTAAGATGGAGTTAGGAAGAGAGAATTCAAATACAGAAAATGATAATAGGACAGATCTTTTATCTTCCTAGTAAATAAAAAAGCACTGAGTTCAAAATATTACATTTTCGACTATTAGGAACACCACTTAAACTATCTATGACATGTTATTTGTCACTCATGGCAAAAGACTTGGAAGTTTTTAGAGCTTATTTCCTGCCAGAATTTTGAAGTATGACATAGTCTGCAATAAACGTCAAGCTACCTAAATGACAAGGTTTTCATGGTGCCAGGGAAAAAAAAAAAATCCAACTAATTTTCCTTTATTAGTTTTGAGATGAAGAGCCAGAGATGACTATAATATCCATAATATGGCAAACAATGAAAGAGCAGCTCCCTGTCTCTGCCCCAGGATTAATAAACATGCTGACAGAGCTAATAAAGCAACATTAAAAGCCCTCTAGAGCTTAGAAGGCATGAACAGAAATGGACCTGCATTCACTGAACCCGAGTCACTGCTGTGGGAAACCAAGTTTCAGCAGAGCTGCAGTGAATTATATCAAAATTGGAAATAATTCATCATTTCTGAAGGAGCTGAAATAATTTCTGAGCTATGAAAAAAATTAGAAAAACAATAGGAAAGGTTATGCAAAACTCCAGTGGGTAAGTATGGCAACTAAAAGTCCATTTACTATGCTTTAACTCAGATTTTTACACTTGTTGCAGTGTGTACTATAACAAATAGTTAATGAACAAAATGTCTTCTATAGCAGGAGTATACCAGTCACTTATATTTTGAAAGTGTCATATGAGTGCATGACTTGGCGTATAACCATTTGCAGAATCAGATCTTGTAGAAATGCATTTTCCTCTTCACTATAAATTTGACTGCTATAAACATTTTTTTTTTTTTGCAAACAGAAATATAAACCTAACATATATCATTGAAAACATGGCAACTTATATTTGTATGCATATAAAAGAAATATTTAAAAAAAATGAAAAGCAATAAAAGAAATAAAAGAGAGTGAAACTAATGACCAAGATTTTCAAGCTGTTTAGCGAAAGTTGCTGGCAGGCTTGTAGGTGGTCTGTGTAAGGCTCCCACACTCCAGTCTTTCCACACACGCTTTTATGCTTGATTAATTAGTGAATCTAGGGAGAAGTGATTCTTTCACAGTGCCTGATGTTTTCTCATAATTAAATCAGTCTGGTGTATATCCCTCAAAACATCAAGTCATGAAATGCTCATAAAACACCAATCTAGGAGTCCTTGGCAAAAGTATACATTTTATATTTATATGGATGCCTTTCGTAAAAGCAAAAATAGAGGGCTCTCTAATTTCACAGAAATGTAGTGCAAATTCATACTGAGCATCATATATTAAAATAATGCTATGCAAATAAGTATGACAGCTAAATATGGTTTTAGAATTAGACTGTTTAAATGAGTAAGAAAATTTTTAAATGCCAGTCAATGACTTTAAAAAGAGAAAGCTCAGCTTAATGAGGTTGGTCATTTCTGGCTTATGTAGAGGAAAGGATTAGCATGTAGCGTACGTTCAGGCTGCTCAAATCTCTGTGTGCGTTTTACACATGTATTCATTTTCATTTCAGTACAAGAATTAGTGGAACAAATGCTGGCTTACATAACACTTTGCTGCTTATAGCACAAGAGAGCTTCTTAAGAAACCTCCACAGTGCTGCCGTGTAAAGGTCAGGCACAGTTTACTGAGAACTAGGAAGAAAAACAAAAATCTTCAAAAAAAACCCTGTGGCCTTCCTGACAAATCTGTGGTTTGGAGCAACATAGTCTTTTTTTATGGTTTATCAAAGCACTGTGTCAACTCCACTTTGACTAATTCTCTATGAAATGAAAATTATTGTAATACCAGTAAAGAAATTCCCTTCTAGCAATCACAGGCACAGTCAAGTGGAATTGCAGAAGCAAAAGAAGGTTTGGGGTAATAAACTAACTTCTCTTTTACAAGAATATTTTTGAACAGTGCATGGAAGCAGTGATTGACAGTAACGTTTTCAGTCTGACATAACCTGCTTACTGCTATGCAGTCTACAGATACAAGCACTAGCTCTGAGCAACACTTCTGCTTAGCACTAAGGCTAAGAGCTTTATGTACTGTACTGAAAAACAAATGCAGTAAAACTCCACAGCTATCAATTTCAAGCTTTTCCAGATGAAATTATTTTATGTTTCCCTGAAAGATTGATGAGAAAATAAGAAGATAGAAAGTAACAAGGTACAGGCTCATATACAATCCTGCAGCTAATCTTCAGAAATGTGGGACTAAAGGAAATTGTATACATTTAGAAAAACACAAACTTGCTTTGCAAATTCATTAAAGTAAGTGTGACCCTCTTGCAAACATTTCCCTTTTGGAAGTGTTGAGTATTTCCAACCCAAACCACTATGCCAGACATACCCATTGCTCCTAAGGACTAGCTCCTCTAGAATCTGAGAGAAAGAATAATAATGGATTCTCCTTATTTGCAAGGGGTGGGAGGAGGGATAAGAAACACAGACATAATGTATCATGTCATGTCATAGACATGAGCATTATTGAAAAAAATGAGATAGAGAAAAATCTAAAACTCAACACTGAGAGATGATTTCCCTCTTTTCTGCTTTGTCCCAAACTGGGCTAGCACTGCAGCATACAAGGCACCAACCCCTCTGCCACCCGAAGAACATTGTAATGGTTTTCACCAGTCCTATTGCTTATATTCAATTTGAACAGACTGTTATCTGTGTTTATTTTCAGCTTGGGTAGAAAGTCTTTAGAAATAGTAGATCAGAAATAACATCTCCTCTGTCAAATTATATATGGTTCAAACTTAAAATGATTAACAATATTTAAATGAGACTTTTGGGAGAAAACAGCTAGCTGGATTCTCGAGTCTCATGCAGTTTGTTAATATCTGGTGCTGACAGCTGAGGTCTAGAAAAAAAGGAAAATGTTTGCCAATAAATGGTCTTCCAGATGTGTTGGTAGAGAAGGATTAGTGTAGGTCTATTTATATTCAGAGCTTTTCCAATAATTCCTCAAGATAAACTAGAAAATCCTTGTTGTGCAGTATGGAAACTGAGACATAAGAGTTAAAAAATGAAAAGCTTTGCTTCAGAAATACTACTACTTTGATTCAGTAAATACTACTACTCACTACTACACAAGACTGCAGAGAAACTTTTTTAAAGCTCAGAGTAGAACTCCAGTGGTTTTGGTTCATTAAAGGATGAACCAAAGCATGATCATCCCTTTTAGGTAACAATTAACTATAAATTAGTGTCTCATAAGCAGGGAAAGCAACTTGTCTCAGATGCTGTTGGAGTCTTCATCTTAGAGTGCTACACATTGCTTTAAATTACTGACTGTGTTCCCTGTTGATGTGGTCATTTGTAATGCCACAAAATCCCTCCTTCGAAAAACATTACAGATACCCAGGTAATTAATTCAGGACTTGTGCATAGAGCTCGAGGGGCTTTGTTGGTGTTGTGGGGGTGAAGGGTGTTTCGAGGCATTTTGAATAAGATGTTTATAAGCATTATTATTATTTCAACGAGAATATAGGAGTTGGGATTATAAAGGATCTCACAGAAGATACAGAAAGATACAGAAGTAAAATATACAAAAATACAGAAGATACAAAGATACAAAAGCAAAGGGCTACTTCATGAACCTTAAAGCAAAATTAGCCACAGATAATGGTTTATTTACTGAAATGTGTCAAATATATGACAGAAAGTACTCCAAAGTTCTCCTGTAACAAACTTTTCTTGTGATTTATGAGAGGAGGACTATCATTCCCTAGTGAAATTCAACTAGTGAAATTCAGCAGGGCCTGGATGTAAAACCTCAAAAATATCACAATTGCCAGCTTAGTACAGCCAAGTGCAACAACATTTCTGGTTCAGGATGTAAACTCAGTCTGACAGTTCTCCTATCAGCTTTGTGTCCCAACACAATACTCTTTCCTTGCCTTGGCAGCTTGGCCAGATAGATTAATACTCCCAACTGCACAGCCACTTAATCCCCCCTTGTCTCACTCCATAACATTCATAATTAATGACTATGTTCAGGTCTTTGTGGCTTTAAATACTACTCAAAGCTTCATATAAGCATCTATAATTCCAACCGTTAAGCACATACTTTAGTTGCATGTATTATGCATAGTTCCAGGTTAACCATTCAGGCTTAAAAGAAAATATAAAGCTAAGAATGTCTTTCAAGGATTGGAGCTCTTGTCCCCAGTGTTTTCCTTCTGTAAGCTGCAATAATAGAGATAAGAGAACGAAGTTTTTACAAATCTTCAAATTAGGCTTCTCAGTTGTATGGAGAAAGAAAAGGCACAGGTAGACATACATATACACATGAGCACATATATTCAAATAGGTAGAAGTACATGTACACAGTTCTTACATACTCCACGAGCCTCAGAATATTCACTCACCCTTGTCAGAGTCAGCGTCCCCTGCTTACAGTCACTGCAGCGGACCCTCAGTTTCCCAGGTTTCACGGCGTGGCAGAAACTTTTGCAAAAAACGTAAAAGCTGTTGTAATTAGCAGCACCTGTCAGGAAGAAAATAAAAAATAATGTTCAATTTGTAGTGAAATGAGTAACAACCTGCAACAAAAGGTTTCTGTTTTACTCTACTTTACTCTGACATGTAAAGAAAATACATTGACTAATTTTAAGGCCTGAACACATCATTTTGATTGTACTGCTTGGTCTATTTCTTAAGAGTTTCCATGATCTATTCTTTAATAGCTGCAGCTGCATAACTCCTGGAAAACAAATCCACTTTTGAGTTAGAACATGCCACTGCTGAGCACCCACTGAAATTTTTGGCAAGTGATGAATGTGATTAAATACCCGAACATTTAATTAATTACACACAACTTTTGCCTTCCTCCTTGTAAATTCGTCTAGTCGCAAGTTTTAGTGAGTCCAAGCTATATGACAGATTCCTTGGATCAAATTTAAAAGATTAGCTTGATTGATAATACAACACGGAAACAAATATTTAATTTAGCAAATTTAGTTTTATACATGGAAGCCTGAAAAACATTTCTTTATTCTTGCTGGCAGCTGTGTAACCTAGCAAAGTTAGTAATCTGCTGCCAAGATATTAGGCCAAGTACATTTTCAAGGAAAATGAAATGAAACACATTCTGTTCTGTTGAACTATGGAACAGAACATGATATGCAGAGAATTGTGTAAGCCTGAAGCAATGCTAATTATTTGCTTTCACGTGCAATACTGGTTATTGCTTTCAGTAAGCCACTTTTTAGGGTGAATATTGTTACTCCTCACTGAAGGATGGAAGATTCACAGCATGCTGGTTTTAATCAAGACTAGCAATCTCTGGTTCAGTAACTCCAGCTTAAGAAACTGAGCTGAGCTCAAAATAAAGATTTCCTCTGATTATCCCAATATCAAAAAGAATGTCTGTGGATCTATTTCTTGTTAACAAGGGTGAATTTATAGGATCCAGAGGAATCCCTTAGAGATCAAAAGTTTCCTAGTGTTTTCTTACCCATCTTCCTGATCTTCCTCACATTTTTTCATTAAAATAATTTTTAAGTAAATTTGAATCTGATCATATTACCATACAATGAAATATAACATCAAATAATATTCATAAACAAGACTGAACTGCTTTATTTTTACATGTCCTTCAGAATGATAAGGGCAAGACTGTTCTGCTAATGAAAATCTCTACCAATCCCTAGCATTTCTGTGTTACACCTATTCATAGGTACCCAATGGGAACAAAGTGGCAATTCATCTCCATAATTAAACTTCATGGAACTCTGTTGTCAAAAAATAAAATACAACCTGAGAAAAAAGATGTGTGTGTCTTCAAAGAACACACACTGCTTGAAAAAAAATTATAATACATACTAAAAAGCATGACAAACTTTTTCCAAAAACACAACATGGTTAGAGCAAATATAAACCACGTTTCTAGAGGACATCACGGGTTATATTAATTTTACTCAAAACATCTATCAAGTGTTTCATTATGCTGTCACTATGCTTTCCTGGGAAATATTAATTACTACAACATAAGTAGTAGTAATTATTACCATGTAGTAGTTGCAGTAACTATTACCATGTAAAGCATAACAGAATTGTAACTAAATTGAGATTTTGTGGAAAATAAGCATATATCCATCCATTCACACCTATATCCTTCACTACCTTAAATGAAATCATGATGTTCTTATGCGAATAAAAGCAACTGTATTACTTGAGAGCATCCTTCTCAAATCAGTGTATGACACAGATCTGAGATAAAAATGGTTCAAATGAAGAAAAAATGGCATATGCTGAACTATTCAACATATAGTACCATGCAGAGAAGTGAATCCAAATCAAGTATGCCAGTTCAGAACATCTGGATCCCTATTCAGTCTTGCCTGAGACTTGTTAAACTAGGACCAAGAAGTGCACTTGTGGATTTGACTCAGTTTGAAGTAGAATCCACAACCAAAATCTAAATTATGAAATTGAAAATGAGAAAGAGTGCACTGGCAAATGACTGTCCCTTCCTTTTGGCAGCTCCATGAGGCAGGATGAACATAAAACTGAAAATAAATAAATAAATAAATAAATAAACCCACAACCCAGAAGAACAAAAAGAACAAGAGACAGCAAAGAACATTAAACTTAACACAATTTAAATATTTCATGACTTAAACAAGAATGTTATTGCCAAAAAAGAAAATCAGAAGCATCAGAGATCAGTACCATTCCCTACTGAGTTTGAGCTGTACAAAGACCAGCTGCAGCAGGAGGTGACACTAGGGCTCTTCTCTTCTTTCTGTATCGCCACTCCTCTCCCTTTGCTCTGGTTTCTGCCTGGGCTTTGAGACCTAATTAGGCTGCTGCTTCTATTCATGGGCAGGAGCACTCATCCTGAGCAGATCTGTGAGCCGCTACTCACTCTCCTCATTCAGTCCTACTCTTTGGATGAATTCCTGCTATGACTAATGAAATCCTTTCAGTCAAGCAGAACCATGTTATTAAGCACATGAGCCCTTATGGAATAAAATATTCGTGTTAATTGGGCTGATGCTTTTCCTGATCCAATCCTCTTGATGTCTTCTGTCCCTGTCTCCTATTTTATACTAACTTTATTTCAAGTAGTAAACTACTTAGGGCAAGAATCATGCTTTCTGCCTGCTTTGTGTTCTAAGCTCATTCCATCTGGACCCAAAGATAAAATTATATTATTGATAATACTCTGCAAAATATTCATAGGATAGTGTAGCATAAATCAGCATGACCAAATACTGCAGTAAAAAATAGCAGTCATAGGAGATGCCTGGAATGAGGTATATTGCTGATTTACTGCAGAGGATAAATCTTGTTTGTTAGCTTGATATTTACTCCTCGTGAAAATAAACTATGTTAGCCTGATTTCCTCTCTTCCTCCTTTCTCATGAATACAAAAATGCAGATCCCCCTTAAATGCATCCCCAATGCACAAATTCAAAGCACAACAAGAATATATTTATATATATAAATATATTTAGTTAGAGCAATTAAGCAGCACAGATTGATGCATAGACCCAGAATATCTTTGGAAATGTCTCCTACTGCAAAGCTTTTGGAGAGTCACAGTAAGAGTGACCTGATTTTAAGGAATTTGAAAGGAATAAATGTCAATTTTCAGCAGTCTGCCCACCATTTCATGCAGTGAGGTTGACACAGTGCAACACAATGTGCAGTTACACTATTAGGTGCACGTCCTAAGCAGCATCACCATGAATAGAGGATGCTGACAACAAGATCAAACATGCCAATGCTGAATACTGGCATCCTGTACCACACTGAAGCCCAACATTACACTGGCTTCCCTGGCAGTGGAAATCTTAACATGACCCTTGACTGATCCTCTTGACTCCCTTTTCAGAGGAGAACTGAAAAAAACAAAGGTGAAGAAATCTGGTTTATGCAGTGGCTATGATGTGAAAATATTAATAAGAATTGTAATTATGGCACCATGCCAGTAATCACTAAAACTGCTGCAGCATCAACCTTACAACCTCGACTTTCCTCATTCAATCATGGTCTATAGGTTTTCATAAAATTTTCCATTAATATTTTATAACACTGGTACTCAGCAAGAAATTGCAGACACAGCAAATTACGAGTGGAAAAAAAAGAATGGATGTCCTTTTTTAAGTGCGGGTTCTGATACTGAAGGTGAGAATTAACACCAAAATTAAATTAAATTATAACTACTACTCCATTTTGTAGGTATGTATATTATGTGGATGAAAAAGACAGGGAAAGAAAAAGTGCTGTATCTGCAATTATTGCTTTGTGCAGTCTCAGTGTTCAGGTACTGGCAAAGTACCATAACAGTCTCTTTTGGCCATCATTCAGACCTTGGTCTGGACAGACACCCTTTTCCAGCTTTCCCCACCTGCTGGTACGCCAACAAGTCTTTCAAAACAACATTACACGATGCTCATCCCTAACGACAGTGCAACTGTGATCAGTTATAGTGGTGAATAGTATTTTAATTTAATTTATCATAAATTGAAATCAGTATCCACAGGAGGAGATCCTTACAAAACTGAATTTTTAAGGGTGTGAAAGCATTTTACAGTCCATGAAGATAAGCTGACTTTTCCAGAAGTCATCTCTAGTACCACAAGCTTCACATGTTATTTCAAGGTTTATCTTTATCTTAACTCTAACCCCAGCCCCAACCTCAACCCTAATCTCTCATGGGGCCTCAAGTAGAACCCACCAGACCTGTTTCAGACCCATAGGAAAAAATGGTCATTGGAGAGAACTTGGTGAAGCCTTGCATCTTAATTGGCATGTTCTTTGCAACCCCACTCTCCGTGTGTCACCAGGTTCTATCTATCCCCTAGCCCAAGATGTAATCTGCATTGTGGCCTCAAGAGATTTAAGAAATAGAGCGTCTTTCATTAGGATGCATTGATAAATTCTTCTCCTAATTTGTTTGAACTTAGCAAAAATAATTTTATGCTTTACTGCCTGGCAACGCTGTCTACCTTTCTTGCCCTTATCATAGGTGAGCATGCTTAATTGGACTGGACCTGCCAGGGAAAGTAAGCACCTGCCTCCTTTCCTAAGTCCCAGGAAACATACAACCTCATTCATGCAGCGATCTGTTCTAACACCTCACCTCACCTCTAACACCTCAGTGTCTTTACCATCAAAAATATATTTCTTTTAGCTTTAATTTTATGTGCTGAAATTAAACTTTGTCTATTTTCCACCATAGATATAGAAAATTTTGTTTGCTTTCTCTTTGCAGCAATATTTTTTATTGGTTTTGTCTTCCTTGGGGGTAGTCAACTGCAAAATGGTCATTCTTTTCTTATAAATGGTACTCTCTAGAGTTCAGAATATTTTTTTTTCTTGAACTTTCCTTTAAGTGGTGTTAAGTACAGCTCCCACAGTTGACCGAAATTCCAGTTGAAGTCTTTCTGCTGCTGAGCACCGCAGTTTTAAGGCATCTCACAGGTCATATTTCTGTGTAAATGCTCCTAGATAATATTTCCCTTAACCTGACTGGTA